AGCAGGAGAGGATGATTTAGTTAAACTTTCAGTGCTGGTATACCTATGCCCCAAAGTTAAAGAATAAAGGGCAAGCCACTGGGGCAAAAGGATGCTGTGACTCAGTGACTAAGACACTGAGCTTGTCAATCAGAAAGGTAGGCAGTTTGATGGTTCAAATCCCTAGCGCTGCGTAACGGAGTGATCTCCTGTTACTTGTCCCAGCTTCTGCCAACCTAGTAGTTCGAAAGCATGTAAAAATGCAAGCAGAAAAATAGGGACCACTTTGGTAGGAAGGTAACAGCGTTCCATGCGCCTTCAGCATTTAGTCATGCTGGCCACATGGCCATGGAGATGTCTTCGGACAGCGCTGGATCTTCAGCTTTGTAACGGAGATGAGCACCACTCCCTGGAGCAGGAAACAAGTAGCATGTATGTATGAGGGGAACCTTTACCTTTACCTTACACTGGGGCTTAAAGAAGAACTCAATGGCAAACTGAGAAATTATATCATGGGAATAATGTATCTCATACTGGCAGTCTCTGACTTATGACTGCTAGTTTAATGATGGTTTGGAGTTGTAACAGAAAAAGTGATTTATGACCTATATTTGCACATATAACTGTTGCACCATCCCCATGGTTATGTGCTTGCAATTTAGGCACCTGGACATTGGTTCACATTTACTACCAATTGCTGTATCTTTTGACTATGATTTGTGATCCTTTTTACTGATCTCTATTTCTAAATTTCCAGCAAAAAATAGCAAAAAAAAAAAAAAAAAAATGCCTATCGGGGAAGTTGGATTCGTTTAATGACACGACTCACTTAATGACCATGGTGATTCTTTTAACAACCACCGTAAAAATCTTAATAAAATCAGGTTGGACTTGATTTATAACCACAATGACGTACAATGGAAATTCCAATCCCATTGTGGTCATATATCATGGACTATTTATATACTGGCTATGAAATTCAGATATAAAGATTTTGAACTTGCTTATATTTCATCAAATTCATCCTTTTATTTCTATTCTGACTATTAGATATATTTAGAAATAATAATATTGGAAGAAATAATTATTTTGCATACCCAACTCATAATTACTTGGTGAGTTTAATGCTGAACTAGACCAATCCCTATTATGTCCCCACCAGTTTTTCATTGCTGGCACTTGATAATATTTACAGATGTTCCAGTGAATCATTTGGACAGCTGTATGCATTGTATCATTTATAACCAGTTTGTGCAATCTGCTTGCAAAAGCTGAGTGTTATTATAATGGTTGGTTGCATGATCAGTCAGATGTTTAGTCTGGGTTTGACATTTTTATCTATTTCTCAAGTCCTTCCCAAGGACCTAGAATACAGATGTTTGTTGTATCGTGTTAAAGCTATACTAGCTTCAGTAGTAATATTCTACAATTATTCAATTCCTTCAGATATTTTTCCAATGCTCTTTTTTGGTCTTCAACTCTCTGGTGTACTTGCAACATTCCCCACTGGCCTGTATTCCTTGGTAAGTACTCTGTCAATATTGCTGCATCAATGAAGGACATGATTGATTGCCATTATTTTTCTGGTTTTCCTAACCTTAGCTTTTAGTACTGCTTGAACCTAGTCCACTACTCTAGTTGTGTATCTAATGCCTGGAATTGCTCAGGTATTAATTACCTTGATGATATAAAATCCATTGAATTTGGACTTTAAGATGTTCGTTACTCTCATAATACATTCACTTCTAACTTTCTTCTTGACTTCAGTGTGCTTGATGTTGTCAGCTTGAAGGATGCCTAGGGATTTTCTTCATCCAAATTCTTGGTATTATTTCCTTAGGACATTTTATTTTCTTCATTTTCACTATTTTTTCCCATGTTGATAAGAGTGGCACATTTATCCAGTCCAAAATTTCATTGCAATATCTTGGCTGCTTTTACAGATAGCATTGAGCAGCAATTCTATTTTCCAAATACTTCAGAACATTCACATAAAGAAAGTGGGATTGCCTGGCAGATGTTTTTGATAGTCATGGGCTGACTTGTTCAGTACTGTTAACAAAGGAAATAGTGCAACAATAAACAGTAGTGGTGATAATGAATCTCCCTGAATGATTCCTTTCTTGTTAACCTTGTCTAGTCTGACGCCATTCATCAGCAACAGTGTCTTCCATTGTGCCAATGATCTTTGCACAAAACTTCTGATGTTTCTTCTGACTCCTGTTATTTTTAAATACATCATTATCCAATCATATGTCTATTATTATTATCATCATTAAAAATAAGTCACATTAGTCATATAGCCAGCCAGATGCCAAATCTTGCCAAGCTTTTTTTTTTTTTTTTTTTTTTTTGTGATACAACAATTCAGCAAGTGGGAATTAAGGGTGTGCATTCATTGAATCCAAAAGGAGACTGGAAAATAATAATGGGATTCATTTTTATTTAGTATAGATCTATTACAATTAGTCATTAAGGTCTAATCTTCAAATTCTCTTATGTTTGTAAGGTTATTTTATAAGGGGTCCTTAGTACTCTCTGCGCTTGATTGTTTTCTTGCAGACTTTCATTACCTAAACTAGGTAACATTATCAGTGCACATCAGTGATGATGTTACCTAGTTTGGGTAATGAAAGTCTGTAAGAAAACAATCAAACTCAGAGAGCACCAAGGACCTTTCATTTCAACTCTGAGCTACAGATATTATCCTTTATTTTATTTTATGCAGAACAGAGAGGGGAATCTTCCAACCCCATGCTTCTATGAAATTATGAAAGGCATGAAGTCGAGTTTCCTGCTCAATGCTAGAATCAAAATTACACCATGCATTATAGAAAACCATCCTATTATTTCTCCTAATTTGAAGGTAACGAGGGAGTGGAAGAGTAACTAAATCCCACTCCCCCCAAAAAAATATCTTCAAAGCATAGGCCACTGGGCTTGTCCAAATCCAAATCTATTGTAATGGATGGAAATCCACTATCCATCAATGGTCTTTATTTTTTTTCTTCCTTCCTTAGATCTAGCTGTGAACTCTCAGGTCTTCAATTCCTAATCTCCTTCATTGTTATTCTGGGATTCCTTTGAAGCTGTTTATCTAAAGAGAAGGCAACAAGTAGCTCACTCTGTGATGTGCTAAGAAGCTGAAATAAAGCTCTGGCCTCCCTGAAGTTTCACACAAAAAGCTGTTCCCAATGGGCAGAAATGAAATGACTACAGCTCAGAAAGGTATGCTTGAACAGAGATGGAAAATGGCAGGAGAAGGTTGACAACACAACTGCTGTAAGTCTAGCTGGCTTTTCTTTGGAATAAAAGAGAAGTGAGAGATTTGTGGCAGGTTAGTTATGAAGGGGAATGCGGCGGCTCAGTGGCTAACATGCTGAGCTTGTCGATCAGAAAGGTCGGCAGTTCGGCGGTTTGAACCCCTAGTGCCGCATAATGGAATGAGCTTCTGTTACTTGTCCCAGCTTCTGCCAACCTAGCAGTTCTAAAGCATGTCAAAATGCAAGTAGAAAAATAGGGACCACTTTGGTGGGAAGGTTCCGTACGCCTTCAGCATTTAGTCATGCCGGCCACATGGCCATGGAGACATCTTCGGACAGCACTAGCTCTTTGGCTTTGTAATGGAGATGAGCACCACCTCCTAGAGCCAGAAACTACTAGCACGTAAGACCTTTTACTTATGAAGACCTTAAGATGCGTTATGGCTTCACCAAATCTTTCTTTTCCTCTGAAAGAAAACTTGAAAACATTCCCCCCTCCCCCATTTAAGTGAAGGAAGAAAATTGCAGAAGAAATTTTCAACAAAGCATTAGTGTTGAAATGTTATAATATTAATATTATAGTATTAATATAGAATTCTGAAACAGCCATCCATAATGCCAGGCCTGTCAAACTGGCAGAAAGGCAAAAAAACCTATCCCAATATGTCACAATACGGCCCAATATGTCATTATAAGGCCTGCGATGTGATCGGGTTTGATACCCTTGGATAATGCATTAACTGACTGAATGTGAGAATTCTGAACATTATATAGCTATCCCTGTTGATCGTTATTTTTCCTTCTCTGAAAAACCATCATTTAAATTTTCTTCCGAGACTTGAACCAAAGGGCAGGACTTCTTGCCCTCTCCAATTCTTTCAGTACCCATAGAAATGCCTCATTCCTCTTTTCCATAACATGTACCGAAGATACAATTTGAGGAGGGGGGACTTCACAGCATTTTTCAAGGCTGATCCAGTGCCTGTCTATGGTGCATCTATCTACATTTTCAGAAAGATGGGCCACATACTGAGATTCAATGAATAAGTCATCTTGATAGATGGACTGAAACAGATGTCAAACTAGAGTTATGCTTCTACCAGACCATCACGCCAAACAGCCACCTAAGATGCACAGGCTCTCCTATCAGTACCACTTTGAGAAGATCCTGGGAATGATACCTTGTGAGATGTCCTCAATCCTTCAATCCAAGTATTAATCAAATAGGACACTGCTTAATCCTCCCCACACACACTCATCTGCAAAGTTGCTAAACTACCTACCTATACACTATCTCAACTTGCGGTAAGTTATTACCACAGCAGAATGAACAAACTAGCTTAAGAGTTGGCAGTGATCGTTACTCGTGCACACAAAAGTTCCAGGCTTATTCCATGCAATCTGAAATCCACAATAAAAAAGACTATAGCTGATACATAGGGGCATACATGCCTGCTTACTTCACTGTCCAATGTTCCTATACCTAATACTAAACTGGCACAAAAAAAATCTGATCTTACCTGTTTCAACCATAATTTTATTTCATTTTTAAATATACATTATCTCCTTTGCCTCAAATAAGAATCACTGAATCCAAATGAAGAACATGACAAGCTTGCTAAATCAAACTTTAAATCACAGTGACAGACGAGATGAATTATAATTCTACTCTATCCTCCCCTGGAAATTTCTAAAAGGAGCACATGCACGTATATCACGCCATATTGCATAGTTTATTGTGAAGTTTATTGAACTTACCCTGAGCATGGGTCCATTCTGGAATACATGCGGTTCATCACAAACTACACAGTATTCATTTAGCACAGGTATCCGCTGCTCAGCAAATTCAATTGTCTGAGAACAACAGAAAAGAGAATAATACAATCTGCTTAAAATAATTAATAAGCAGCTCAACCTCCTCCAAGTTTGTAAAACTCATCAGGCATTCTGACCTACCTGCACAAGAAAGCCGTGGTCTCTTATTGGAACACATTTTGCACCATAATTTGGCTGTTTAAAAACAAAAGAAAAAACTAACATCAGGAATGCTGTAAATTGAATATATATAAGCCTTGATATAATTTAGTATTACCTATAATATAACGATGCAAACTAAATAGTATTCAGTTCCTGGAGGACATTCAGAACTATTTGCTATTTCACTGGAATTCAGTTGCACCTTTTTAAATAGTTCTCTACCCAGTGCATTCATTTATCAATGCACATGGGGAAGAAGTGGAAAATAATTCATTTGCAAGAAAGAAAAAAAGTGAAAACAATATGTCCTTTTCAAAATGCCACTTCAATATTCATAAATAATAAAACCCAAAGAGAAACTTAAGACCAATAGGCTGGCATTTCTGTTGCCTGGTCTCATATTGATACAGAGCTATCAAAAAAAAAAAAAAAAAAAGTCCTATGCTAATACAGTACCTGCTGTGAACAGCTTTGAATACATAAAATCCCATTTCATTACCACCATTGTTAATTAAAAAATTCTTGGACTTATTGAGAGTTTGGAGTTTGGTGACAAGAACCAGTGTCTTAATACATAATAATTTCCTGTCCTGTCCTGTCCTGTCCTGTCCTGTCCTGTCCTTTCTCCTCTCCTGTTCTCTCCTGTTCTGTCCTGTCCTGTCCTGTCCTCTCCTTTCCTCTCTTTTCCTTTCCTCTCTTTTCCTTTCCTTCTTTATATTGGAACAACACAACCTGACAGAAACCTGAAAAGCAAGGAGATATCAACGTGTTCAAAGAAAAAAATGCAGAAATGATGACAACATACAAATACAGTATGAGGAGGTATATCCCAATCACCTTAAAATGGTCTATAAGATCACTTGGGAGTGGGCAGAGGAGCCACAAAAGAATTTGTGGAGGACATTATTAGGATAAGAACACCCCTGTTAGGAAGTGGAACACTTTAAGGTTCTTGTGGTATTCTCTTATTTCAGCTTTTCAAACTAATGTACTACCTCAAGTTTGCCCTGACATTACTATTCTGACTTTATGGAATAGTAATACATATATATTATTGGGCCACAGCTGAATTAGAAGCTGTCAATATTCTATTAGGGATACAGAGACACTATTCCCTGTATATCAACATCTTAGTTTGTTTGTTTTATTTATTTATTTTTTATTTATTTATTATTTAGCATGTTAGCCAGGGATCACCGAGGTGGCTGGCTGCCTCTGTGAAAGGAATTTTTCCGGGTGGTGTTATCTGTATGCATGGGATGCCTGAGTGCTGGTAGGCAATCAGGGAGGCTCCTTTCTTGTCCCTTTTGCGGTTTATTTGCTCACTGGAATTGAACCGCTGAGCTGCTTACCTCAGCAGTACGCAGGCCCAGCATCTTATCACATGAGCTCCCATGGTCCCTCATCTTAGTAGTAATTAGTAGTGATTCTAGTTTGGATTACCCAGCAATAATGTATTTCTAGAGAGATCCTTCTATTATAATTGAATACAGATTCCTGAAGTTCCCTCCAAGGCTAAATTGCTTTCTCTTAGCCGAGTGCCTTCCAGAACAGTATTTCTCAACCTTAGCGAATTTAAGCAGTCTTAATTTCAACTCCCAGAATTCAGGGAGTTGGAAGTCCAGATGTCTTAAATGTTGCCATGGTTGAGAAACATTGCTCCAGAAGCATTGGGACTATGAGTCCCAGGGTTCCCAGTCAATATGACCAAGGTTATGCTGTCTGGGAACTCTGGAAACTGCAAACTGTCTTTTTCTTAATTGTTACAGATAGGGATTATATTGATGTATCTATGTTAATATCACCTACATTTATAGAAGTTTCCATTCACATATCCTATACACACTAATTGCCACAAAGAAGTAATAATTTAGATCATGGGAATTTAAAATTGGATTGTTTGGTGTAAGACATGATACAGATTATTCAATGATCATTTCTGCTTTTACTGTAGGAAAGAAGGTGGGCCATTTTATTTTTAGTACTAAACATTTCCCATTATATCCCATTATTTCCAAGAATTATAGTTTAATTCAGCAAAGGTATACCGGTATAAATTAGGGGTATCAAACTCAAGGCTCGTGGGCCAAATCTGGCCCGTGAGGTGCATAGAACTGGCCCATGAGGCCACCCTTGAAACAGCAAAGGACCTGCCCGTGGTGCCTCTGCCAGCAAAAAAGGAGCTTGTGAGGGTCGCATGTGACCCACCTGAGCTCCGTTTTCACTGGTAGAATGCTTGTGCCATCACAGGCGCCCTGACACGACTGATGTCAAGCTGGCTGTGCCCCCTGTCCATGTCCCTGTCCCTCTGAGGTCAAACACAACCCTGATGCGGCCCTGGTATAGATCAAGGACTGGTAATTCAGATAAGGTTATCTATCAATCCTGAAAGTAATAATCAAATAATTTTCAATGAAATTAAAATGAAGTTTTAAAATGTGCAAAAAAACCTCATAAACCAGCCTCTCCCATAAAATCTCAGGTCATTCATCAGCAAAAGTAAACTGGGCCATCATACTGAATTCTACAGTAATGCTTAAGGCTTGCAATGTTTACCAAGTCTGTGGATATGTAGAAGGAAAAAACGTTTCTACTTTTCTAAAAGTTTCAACTTTTTTTAATATGGTGAAGTTCCCTGAGCTTTAGCGGAATTGGTCCACACACCAAATTTATGAGCAAAGACACTCTGACTTCCTAAGATGCTTGTGCATTTAACCATTCTATGTGGGAAGAAAAGAAAAAGCTCACAGAAGAAAACTGTTTACGCACAGCGGATGGCGAAGATGTGGATGGTGTTAAGATACCAATAAGCCCTGAGGTAAGAGAGAGTCTCCTGCCCTCTGTTATTGTGGGTTCTTTGAAAAGTTCCATTTTAGATGATTTGGGGGCACTGGAATAACTCTTGCTGAGTAACTTGTGGTTCTTCAACCCATCTAATTCATCCATCCTAAGATTACTGGAATAAGACCTGCTTAAAAGTTTGTGGGGCTTCAAAGTACTGTTGTGCTCACATCGCATATCCCCAGAGCATGGTCTATTCAGCAGTTTGTGGGACTTTAACGTGATGCTTTCATCCTGCTTGATGGTTGCCGAGCAAGAGTGGTTCAACAGTTTGTGTGACTTAATGGTCATTGTATGTTCAGCCCTAGGATCGCTGGACAGGGAGCGACCAAAGGTTCTGTGAGATTTTGCTACACAGGAGTCCTCAGATTTAACTGTGCTAGAACAAGTCCTCCTCAATAACTTGTGGGTTTTTGAGATACCATCTTGTTCAGGTTTCAGCTTTGATTTGTTTTTCCCACAGCCTGGTGGAGGATAACTTGGCGACCTTAAAGACAATCAGAGAGAAGAATTAATTAAGCGTACATGTAGGCCCTAGATAACTATGAGAAACACCAACATGAACATGCTTTTCTTCAGCTTCAAACTGTAGGTTTTCCATATAACCAGTGTCACCAATTAAATCAGCGGCCCCCAACCTTTTGGGCACTAGGGAAAGGTTCCAGTGAGAGAGGTTTTTCTGCTGACAAGAAGCAGGTTGGTTTCGCATGCTGCCTGCATCCCACAGGTGGGGTGTCACTTGTTTGTGCGGCCCAGTTTCTGGTATGCCATGGTCCAGTGCTGGTTCATGGACTGGGGGTTGGGGACCCCTGAATTAAATGATAAAATTAGAAGCACTGGCTTTGATGCAGGTTTAATACATATAGCAATGAACGCATATACACACATCTCTTAATTTTTGGTAAATTTGTGGAGCTAATTGTTATCGGATTTGGCAAGAATATATACCTTATGCCACCAGACTTGAAATTCTAGAACTAGAAAACCTTGAATTACGCCGTCTTCGGTCTGACTTAAGCATGGTATATAAAATCATACATTGCAATGTCCTACCTGTCAATGAATACTTCAGCTTCAACCATAACAACACAAGAGCACACAATAGATACAAACTCAAAGTTAACCGCACCAAACTTGATTGCAGGAAATACGACTTCAGCAATAGAGTGGTCAATGTCTGGAATACTCTACCCGACTCTATAGTTTCTTCCCCAAACCCCAAAAACTTTAACCTTAGACTGTCTACTATTGACCTCACCCCTTTCCTAAGAGGTCTGTAGGGGGCGTGCATAAGCGCACCAACGTGCCTACCGTCCCTGTCCTATTGTTTCTCTTATTCTTTTATTTTTCTTATATGTACCCATTTCATGTATTCACAACTATGTATACACTTATACTTATTATCTTGTAAACAATTGGCAAATCAAATAAATAAATATAAATAAATAAATAAACCTAGGAACATCAAAAATTCATTCAGTTGCATGCACTGAGTGGAAAATATTTCCCCAAATTTAAGATAGGTTTTTTTTTTTTTTTTTTTTTGCATTATTTGGTTGGAACTTGCTGCATATAAAGTAGATGGAACGTCCTCTGATTGGCTTATGATTGGTTGCGATGATAATGAGATCAATTAAAATAACTCTACGAGCAGCAAATAAGTTGGCAGTCCCAAAACTATAATAGGTGCCAGATTGTAGAAAGCCAAGCAGCAGACTAAATAACTTGCAATTGTTTTAAATATTTGTGTGTGTGTGTTCACATGTGCATGTGCGTGAGTCTTCAACTCAGTTTTAACTTTTAGTGGCTGCCTGGACTCTTCCCTGCAGTTTTCTTGGCAAGATTTTTGGAAGTGATTTCCATTACCTTATTCCTTGAGCTGACAAGAGAGTGACTAGCCCAAAGTCACTCAGTTGACTTCAAACCAAAGGCAGGATTAGATCTCATGGTCTCCCAGTTTCTAGTTTAGTGCCTTAACCATTACACCAAATTGGCTCTCAAATATTTGATAGTGAATACTCACCAAGCCTCTAACTGCTGTTTATTACTTCAACTAATTTATTAAATAATAGAAATGATGTAGTCTTCCTAAGTCAAACCAATCACTCATCTCTTCCTTATTAAATCAATGATAGTAGAACGGATAACATAAAAAAAGTTCTATCTGCTCATGTCCTTTGTAAGCTATATTGATTATTTTGTCCAGTGCCTTTTTTCTAAAATTGATGTTGAAACATTGGCTCTACAATATATCTTACATAAAGTCAGTGGTGAGATTAGTACCTTGTGAGAAAACCAAAAAGGATTTAATTGTCCAATTAACTATCATACAGGGATGGAATTTCACCTAAAATACATGCAGGCGTACATACAAATTCCACCTGGTTAATCAATTCATAAGACCATCTAAAATAGCCCTACTACCCGAAAATAAAATGTTAGCAGAATAACAGAAAGGGACCTTGGAATTGGAAGGGACCTTTTAAGTCTTCTAGTTCAACCTTATACTCAACCAGAAGACCCTATACCATTACAGATAAGTGGCTGTCTAGTCTCTTCTTAAAAGCCTCCAGTGATGAAGCGTCCACAACTTCTGAAGGTAAGCCATTTCGCTGGTTAATTGTTCTCTTTTAGGAAATTTCTCCTTAGTTCCTCGTTCTCACCTAGATTAGTTTCCATCCATTGTTTCTTGCCTTGCCTTCTGGTGCTTTGGAAAATAGATTGATCTATTTTCCAAATTTTAATTTTAATTCTAAATTTGTTAAAGGTGAAAAGCTGAAAAATCTAGCTTGTGGTGGAGCTGTAATGGAATTCTGAGACTAGGTGCTTTTGAAATCTGGCACAACCAAAAGAGATTAACATTATTTGTTATATCTTCTAATGGGAAATAACCTTCTCCAAGGCAAGAGAGAATTAGAAAGAGGATCAAAGGCATCAAGGAAGTCCTGCCTTATCTTACTCACTGACTAATGAGAGCTAAAATATAAATTCGATAATCTAATCTTTCTCTTGACCTGACTAATGAGACGATGAAAAACTACCCTTTTGAGTTATATACTGCAGTTGGGAGACTGGCACAAACTGTTGGGGTTTGATACCAATGAACATCTCTCTCAAAAACTGATTGACTGCAGTGGTTGCTTTTATAGAGAGAAGCTAATGATATTTTTGCTAATGATATTTTTTCAATATTTTGGTGACACAAAAAATCATACAAAATCAAAATCCTAGACAAAGTGTATAGGGCTGCCCACATTTTCAAACTATTAAGCCTTTTAAAACTGAAACAGTATGATTGAGTGTTGTAGAACCACTGATAAGTTAATTTGACCAAGTTAGTGACTGTGTTGTGGAAAGAAAAGTCACTAAGGATTCCAAATAACATTACAATTGTCTCACTTTCAGTTAATCAGTGGAAAATGACGTTTATAAATTATCATATAGATAATATAGTAATTTCAAAAACATGTTTTCAATGTTTACTTTGTAGGAGGCAGAAAAGAATTTTTTTTTTTTAACTCTGTAAAATAGAGAGAAGTGATGCAACTTCTAAAACAGGGGTGTCAAATTAACATCTTCACGGCGGCGTCACCTGATGTATCAGCGCTTCTTTGCCCTTCACTAAACTGGGCATGGGCATGGGAAGTTTGACAGCCCTGTTATAAAAAAATCCTTAAAAAAAAAAAGAATGGGTTGCCTGATTAATTGAAAACAGCTTTTCAGTTGGATGGTATTCAATTCATTAACAATTAAATTACACAGCTGCCTTTTTTAAATCAAAAGTTTGTTAAATTGAACAAACAAAAGAGTAGAAACAAGGTGCTTCACCAATTATACAAATATCTATGTTCAAATATGAACACAGCTTAATAGTTATTTCATGGTTCTGTGAATTTTCTCCATCAAGACACTAAGCAGATCAGCAACCCACCTAGCAGTAAGATCTTACCAGATACAACTGAAAAATTACAAGTGTGTTTTTTGTAGTGTCTACTATATTTATTGTGCTACTAATAGATCTCTGCAAGGCAGTGGGTGAAGGCCAGGGAAGAAAATTGCATGATGTGGATCTGCAGAACTTATTCTACAAAAAAACAAGCAAACCTATATTTCTCCTTAGTTGATGTGTCACATCTCTAGACAGTGTGAATTATTCAGGGACGGACACACACATTGGTGAACACACATTTACAATAAAGGGAACTACTGAGATATTTTGGACACACAAAGTTGCATATTTTTTGAGATCTGTGAATATAATGAATATTAAAGGCTATTTTAAATTGGCCTAGAATTTCTAATAGCATAGGGAATTCCTTTATAGGTATACTTTTAAAATCAAAGAGTTAGAATCTAAATGAAATCAGCTACAAAGACTGCATGTAAATCAATTTCTTTGGTTGCAGATTGTGTGTCTTGTGGGTGGGAGATAGCTGGTAGGTATTTAAAAAAAAACCTGCAACATCCTCGCAGAGTAAATAAAAGGTAAAGGTAAAGGTTCCCCTTGAACATACATGCTAGTCATTTCCGGTTCTAGGGGGCGGTGCTCTCATCTCCGTTACAAAGCCGAAGAGCCAGCGCTGTCCGAACACGTCTCCGTGGTCATGTGGCTGGCATGACTAAACACCACAGGCACATGGAACGCTGCTACCTTCCCATCAAAGTGGTCTCTATTTTTCTACTTGCATTTTTACATGCTTTCAAACTCCTAGGTTGGCAGAAACTAGGACAAGTAACGGGAGCTCACTCCATTATGCGGTTCTAGGGATTCAAACCACTGAACTGCTGACCTTTCTGATTGACAAGCTCAGTGGCTTAACCACCGAGCCACCGCATTTTCTGTGCGGCATCAGTTCAGCCTTTGGATATAAATGATCTCGCGCTAGGAAGTGTCAAGTGGAAGATACCAAGAAGAATGAGATTTTAGCTGTGATCCCCTCCAAATTATCCCAATCTATTAATAGAGGGGACCACTCCAATTTGGGATGCAGAAGTGAGATTACATCACCTTTCTAATACTGCTAATATTTATTTTCTTTGGAAACAACATCCAGAGAAATATTCACCAAATCAGAGAACAGATAGAGGTGCTTCTTACTTCTCATTCACCCCAAACATACTAGTCTTCTACATTCTGGAGGCATTATCCAGGTTTGATCAATGGACATAAAATGTCACATTCCCATGTAGCAATTTCAGGATACGTCAAGGAATGAGCCTCTATTTTGCAAAGAAACTGGCAGTGCTTTTATCATATATAAAGAAGAGACGTTTTGGCAAACATGAAAACTGTTCAGAAATAAACACAACTACCAATCACTCCTGCTTTCTTTTTCAAAAAAATTCAACAGACTAAGTGGACTATATTCCTTTTCTTTATCTGGGAGGCCTTGGGAGCAAAAAAAATGCAAAATTAATTGCTAACAGAATGCATGGCAAAAGTTTTTTTAAATCCCAAGTTGGAAAAAAAAAAAGTCATCATGCTTGCGCTGAAAGTATGTAACAAGATTTCACTAAACCGTACAGCACAACTATCTCTCTTTTTTGACAAGGCAACAAGCTACACACATATTTTTATCACTTCCTCCTACCTGCGCAATGTAGAAAAGATGTGCAGGGGAGATTTCACTTTCTTTTCTGACAGTTTTTTGTTGTGCGTACTGTTTGATTTTTCTTTGCCATTTTTCCATTGCTGTGTAACAAATGTTTGCATAATTCTGCAAAATATGAAACAAACAAGTACTCTGAGAATCTGACTGGATAAAACAACCAATCAATCAATCTATGTAGTGCGTGCATACCTAACCCAGAATGGAAATTTAAGTCTAAATTGACAATGGGAGTCCTGGAAATCGATGTTCTGTTTCAAACTGGATTAGATTGACTGAACTGAAATGTTCTCGCTGTTATACTTTCCTAGTAACCACTATATTTAGCTTTTATACTAGAAGCTAGTATAAAAGTCTAGAATATCAGAAGGTATTTTAACACATCTACTGTATGCTCAAAGCTATCTGCAACTCTTTCAACAGTTGGAAAAACAAGGAGAGAATTCAGAAAGGAGGATGCAACATGCATTGTAGTCCATTTAATCACCCTTAATTTATCTTCCATGCTGCTGAATATAATCTATGGATAGCATTCTTGCAAATGATAAGGAATAGATTTTTCACTTTTGTAATCTATTCTGCAGAATATCACTATATTGATATTTCCTACAGCTTTTCATTCAAATCCTTACAGTTAAAATATCCGAAACCCCCATTCCAAAAAGTAACAAGGTTCCTGTTTTAGGTCGATAAATAAGACAGGATTCTTCAGATTTTCTTTTCTGTCTAAAGCATAAAATTCATAAATTTATCTCAAAGTGGCCTAAAAGTCTTGGCTTCTTAAATTTTTCAAGAGACCAACTCTAAGAAATACAATTCACGAATTGCTGATTTAGCTTTTGGGTTTGTTCATGCCTAAAACATTTGTATAAGATTGACCTTAAATATCCATTCATACATTCTGAGAAAATAAAAAGACAAAATTATTCCAATTTGTTACAGTCATGCAAGGCATTGTAATAGTCAAAGATAACTATTGTTAATATGGTTTATCTAACTGGAGAAAACTGCAAAAGAGAGTAATTTTTTTTTACATAGATTATAAAACGAAATGGTAAATCTTGGCGCATTTTTAAGGGCTGTCAGAAACATTGCTAGAGTTGTTAATAATTCAAAGTGCATTTACTAGAAAATACTGTAGCCAGAAACAATACCTTGCAACTAGAAGCTAATACTTATGCATAACACATTCATGTCTCTCTTTGGGAAAACTTACTTCTTTAGCTGATGCCCCAGTCCAAATCTTTCTTTAGTAGAGATCTGAAATACATCAATGGTGGGCACTGTCGAATAAAAGATATTGTTGAAAAAACAGGGGCAAACATGTTGTTTAAAGGTTATAATTAATTGTAGTTGATGCTATAGTTGGGCAATCAAGGGCTCTAAAACACGAGGTGCTCCAATTCTCATTCAAAGATACCCAGAGTACTCCAAGATTATAGTTCTAAATTTGGCAGCAAAAATATATATATTTTCAGTAGAATTTTTAATCTTATTGGGGAGAAAGAGAGAGAAGAGAAAGTATAAATTACCATATATTTTGCACTGTAAGGAGCACTTTTTTCACCCAAAAAGTCGGTGGAAATGTCTGTGTCTTATAGAGCAGGGGTCCCCAACCACCGGTCCGCGGACCGGTACTGGTCCGCGGAACAAGTCCTACCGGGCCGCTGGTTGCTGGGCGCCGCCATCTTTTTTTGATGAAAAAGTGCTTCCGGTGAGCTTTTCCGGGTAGAAAGCTCACCGGAAGCACTTTTTCATCAAAAAAAGATGGCGGCGCCAGCGCTTCCGGTGAGCTTTTCCGGGTAGAAAGCCATTTCTACCCGAAAAAGCTCACC